TCTCTCCCCCCCGTTCCCCCATCTTCCCCTCTCCTCCCCCGCCTTCTCGCCCCTCCCGCGGAGGAGGAGGAGGAGGAGGAAGAAGAGGAGGAGGAATCTATAGAGGAGAAGGAGGAGAAGGAGGAGACGGAAGAGGAGGAGGATGAGGAGGAGGAAGGGGAGGATGAGGAGGAGGAAGAGGAGGAGAAGGGAGGAGGAGGAGGAGGAGGAGGAAGGAGGAGGAGGAGGAGGAGGAGGAGGAGGAGGCTGAGGAGGAGGAGGAGGAGACTTCCTCCCCCCAGCCCCCGTCGCGTTTGATTCGGCGTCTGGGCGGGCGCGGCGGGGTGCGCCAGGCACCACGGGGCCCGCGAGGGCGCCCTGGAGCGGCGAGGCTCGCCTGCCCGAGGCGTGGAGCCGCCCTCCTCCTCCTCCTCCTCCTCCTCCTCCTCCTCGTCCTCGTCCTCGTCCTCCTCCTCCTCCGCCTCCTCGTTCTCCTCGAGTCCTCGTTTCCTCCTCCTTAACCCTCCTTCTCCTTCCCCCTCCTCCTCCTCCTCCTCCTCCTCCTCCTCTTCCTCCTCCTCCCCCTTCCCCTCCTCCATACCCTCGCGCCTTAGCGCTGCGCACATTCGAATTACAAATTTGCAGGGCTTTCACGAGTTATGGGCAGGTCGTGTTCAACATGTGGTTTTCGCTTTAGCGCCGCGCACATTCGTCTTAAAACGTTGTACGAGGTTCGGGGGTTGAGGGCGGATCTCTTTCAGAATTTGGTTCTCGCCCCAGCGTCGCTCACATAGGTTTGAATTGCACGAGTTTCGCGGATTCTCATGGTCATCATTCCCAACCTGGCGAACTAGTCTTTTCGAGCAGGGCGCAACACTCATGTCGATTCGCGGTGTTGAAATCCCAGGCATTGTTCTAGCACGATTCAGGACCGTCAAGACGCAACAGTCAGGTTGATTCGTGACGTTGAAGTCCTGAGAATTGTGTTTTGGCACGCTTCAGCAGGATTTTCACCCAGTTGTCTCCCAACGCGGCGCGTCCACCAGTGGAAGTGAACCTTTGCATGGGGTTTATGAAGGGGGAGCTTGGAGGGAGAGTGTATCCCAACACCGTTGAAGAGTTTTGGGTTTGCATTGGTCCTCCTCTTCCTCCTCCGATTCCAGCTCCCGTCTTTCCGACTCCGGCTCACGATCCTGATTATTCATGTTGGCAGGAATGGTTGAAGGTCTTCTGCAGGTTCCGATTCCGGCTCCCATCTCTCCGACTCCAGCCTTGGCCCCGGCTCCCGACTTTACGACTTCCGCTCCCATCCCATCTTTACGACTCCGTTTCAAATTTTGGCGCCCACGTCTCCGACTCCAGCTCCGATTCCAGCCCCCCGCTTTCTGGCTCCGGCGCCCGTCACATCTCTCCGACTCCGGCTCCGACTGCAGTTCCTATCTCTCCGACTCCTGCTCCGATTCCAGCTCCCGTTTCTCCGACTCCAGCTCCCATCCCGTCTCCCCGACCCCGGCTCCGATTCCAGCTCCCGTCTTCCGATTCTGGTTCACGGCCCTGATTATTGCGAAGGCCTGACGGCCGGTGCCGCCGACCCTCTCCAGTCTTCTTGCCCGATTATGTCCTCCTTTTGTTCTGTCTGCCCACTGCCTTCCCTCGCGTTTCGTTCGCTTTTGTTCGTCGACCATCTTCGTTTCCGTAAGCCCCCTTCTTCGTTTTCCGTTCTTGTTTCCTAATTTCTGTACATTCTCCTCTGATTCTTTGCTGCTCCTTCCCTGCCACCTCACCAATCTTGCGTTTTCTACACTTTGTTGCTTTCCCCTCCTGTGTGGTTCCTTGATTTGCTCCATCTTGCTATTCCTTCTCTTTGTTTCTGTTCGCAATGCGCAGCAAGAGATTACGAGGTTGCTCAAGG